CTCAGGCCTCCCACTACAGGTCTGCTCTCCGTGACACAGCTTCCCCGTGGAAAGCAGAAGTGGTCCTGCCTCTCCAGACGGTCTCTCTGAGACAACCTTCTCCATTCCCCTCACCCCCGTGGGGGTTAACATTTACAGGAAGGCACCCAGGAGGCCCAGACACCAAGAAGACATCACTGCTGTAGCTGGAGGCAGAATGAGTCCAGACCCATCTCTCCACTCTCACTGTATTCTCTCACCAGCACCTAAAAGTGGGCCCAAAGAAGTCATTACAGCTTCCCCCCAGCGCTGTACCGAGAGAGGAAGGAGAATTGGAGAGGGGTGTTGGCAAAGAGCTTCCAGTCAGCGTGGCTTGGAGTCAATGAAGAGTAGTAGACTGACCTTACATGCTCCCTGAAAGGTGGGATTGTGGGCAGGCCCAGCAATATTTGACTTTGAACTGTGAACTGTAAAAAGGAAATGACACAGACTAAAAGACCCTCTGAGCTAAACAAATGGGGACTTCTTCCCAGTGTCCTACAACTTAACAAGAATGGAGCCTAGACCATTAAGAAACACCCACTCAGATTCTGTAAATTTACCCCTAGTGGTGTAATTTTATGGAACATCATTTATACATTTTAGCATTATGAAAAATGAACACAGTTGCAATAAGACTAACCAATAATCTATTCCCATAAGTGATTAGCGCTCATCATGTCAATTCATGGTTTGAAGGCTTTGTAAGATGGTGAGGAAAGAGTTGGAGCAGGCAGCCAGACAAGGAAGACTGGAAATACGCTGAGGAAATAAAGCACAGTTAAATAATCAACACTTTGGAAGAGTGCTATACAAATGAAAACTATCACTTGATTCTAAATTTAACCTTCAAGAAATAACTTTGTGGCAAATACGGAGTATGGACAGCTTATTCAGGACTAAGGGAAAGTGAAGTCCAGCATGAGATTGAAGCAGCAGCCCAGGAATGAAGAGCAGAGGCCACTCCAGGCCCGGCAACTTGTCAGCAGGAGGAGCCTTTGTCACACATCATCCCAAGTAATTATTTAAACTTGCTATTCTACATTACAAGAGAGCACTTCCAGCTCACTTAAGCCAAGGCTATCTAGAAGAAAGTCCAAGTCTTTAAACTGGCCTGTTTCAAAAATTCTAACTCTTCAACTGGCAGATATCCATACTACTTGCTATACTTGGACTTCTCCCTCAAATGGGAACTTACTCCAAATAAATTTTAGAAATGATGATAGAGTGAACTCAATATTTCACAATTTAAGTATCAGGAAACTAGGGAGCTGTAAGAAATCTTTCAATATTTCTGACCGAAAAAAAAAACAAAACAACTTCCTCTTCCACGTCCCTCTCTTCACCACCATTCTTAAAAGACAGGAGGCAATGTGATCTATCGGAGGAGTGTGGGCCTATAACAGTGCCTTGGTTATCACAGGTGCTCGGTAAACACACACGTTTTAATTCTATGGACCCTGTCTCCTTACTTTACTTTTTACCTCCATTGATGCTCTCACTGTTACCACAACCACACAAGGAGGCCCCCGGGATTCACAGGGAGGCATTGCTAGCAGAGGCTGGAGGGAATCCCTTTGCAAAGTATTTCTTGGGCAATTCTATATTAACTAGTAAGCACCTGATAGCCCCCACGGCAGTCGCTAGAGCTGTTCTGAATGCAGCCAGTATAGTTGTCACCTTGGCAGTTATCAGAACTCCTCCCTCCCCAGGCAGGAAGCAGTGCTGAAAGGCACCAAAGTTCATCTCCTCAATACACCTAAGTGTCCTGCTTCACAGTGCACCTGCTCATTTGCCCCTTAGGTCACACAATTCCCAGGTGATAGGAGAAAATTACCTTGTGATCCCCTGCTTTAAAAATATTTATTAAACGAAAAACTAATTTCTTTGCTTTTAAGTAACTGAGTACCTACTATAGATCCAAAGGGAGAAAAGTGGGAAAAGCTCTAAAGCTGGAGCCAGAACACACACCTACTCCGCCCAACGATGTCACTTAACCAGGCCTGTGACCTTGGACATGACACCGACCCTCTTTCTCTGTGGCTGCCCCTGCCTACCCTGGGGGGCCATGAGACAATTAAATGAAATCAGAGTTCAGGAAGGCTTCAGAGCCCTGGATAAATGACAGGTGTTAGCACCATCATCACCAGGAAGAACCCTGGAGAGGTCTGAGGCCTTCTCTGCCATCAACGTGTCACTTATCAATGTCCCAACTAATGATTGTGGTGACTTTCAATGTTAATACTATCCACGCCTGAGGACACAGAGGTCATTCAGGTCAGCAGTGTGAGTGAGCTGTAACAGTAACATGTACACATTATATTCTCATTTATACAGGTTTAAAATTAATACAGGTTTGTTTATGGATAATATAGTTTAATTTTGTTAAATTACAACTCCATATATTCACTTGAACCAACTGGCGTCTCAGATGTTTTGGTGACTTATTTTTTAACACAAATATGATAGAACTAAAAGGTTTTGAAAGTCATTGATTCACAAACTGCTGGACCACTTTTCTGCTGAAAGAATGCCATTGGCGGGGAAGTGGAGATCACAAATTCTCCACATACCTTTGCAACACCAATGACTCTAAGATAAAGTGGATCTTTTTTTTTTTTTGAGGAAGATTAGCACTGAGCTAACATCTGCTGCCAATCCTCCTCCTTTTGTTGAGGAAGATTGGCCCTGAGCTCACATCTGTGCCCATCTTCCTCTACTTTATATGTGGGACGCCTGCCACAGCATGGCTTGCCAAGCAGTGCCATGTCCGCACCTGGGATCTGAATCAGCGAACCCTGTGCTGCCCAAGTGGAATGTGCGCACCACTGCGCCACTGGGCTGGCCCCAAAGTGGGTCTTTTTGATTGGGCAAACTACCTTTGCAGGCTACCTCTTACTACTCCAAATGAAGACCTCTCTCCCAGTGGTACAGCAGAGTAACCAGGGCTGAATGGAGATTCCCACTTAGAACACTACAGCAGGGATACACTGACAATCCAAAAGAGATCCCCAAATCCCCATTTTAGAAACCAGGAAGTGGGGGACAGCAAGCTGCAAATGCTTTAGAGGCCAGCCCTATTCTTCCACCTTGCACAGGACCAGGATCAGAGCAGATTTTCATTCCTTCTTCTAAGTAATCTTGACTACGCGACAGGCACGGGGTCTAGCGTTTTGGACCAGACAGAGAAAGCTGTTTTCACGAAGCCTTCATTGTAGTGGTGAATATAGACTATACACGGGCAGACAAATCAAAATATAACTCTGCTTACTGCTATGAAGGAAATGTTGGCTGAATAAACGGCCCAAGTCACTTAGCGTAAATCACAGCTCCGGTAAATGGTGGAAGAGACCCAAACTCAGGTTTTGCTCCTGCCTTCCCTTCTCTGACATGGGCTGCCTTGTACTCTTCACTCAGGAAGTGGTCACCGCACTCTCCATCCAAAAAGGCCCAGTCACCAAAAGCCTCTTGTAATCAAATTAAACTTCCTCAAGCCTCAAGATGTTTACCTTGCACCCCCAAATGAGAACCAGTGACAACGAATCCCACCCTTTTCCAGCAGAGCTCACCATGTCAGGAGGGACTTTTTGGTACTTAGTCAGCTCCTGCGCTCCTTCAGTGCTTAAGGAGATGCTTCTGCCCTCCTGAACCCTGCAGGCGGCTGGGGGCAGCCAACAAGTCAAAAATCAGTCAAGCATCCTTGCTGGCTAGTTCTCAGGGTGAGTGAGACTTGTGGGGCCTGCTTTGGGACAGCAAATCCCTGGTGTATTTATTAAGCAGATTTACTAGTAAGGTCAGGTGGCTAAACTGGACATGTAGTCTTAGGTTTATAAGCAACAAATTACAAAGAACCATAAATCTCGATTTATGGACAGAATTATTTGCAATAAACAACAACAACAGCACCATTTATGGAATGCCTAGTATGTGCTTGGGGCTTTAAGTGCAATAAATAGCTCAGGAGGTAGATATATTCTCCTAGAGATGAGGAAACCCAAACAGGGAATTTCAATAATAAGATCAAGTTCACACACGGTTAGGAAATTGCAAGGCCTGAATTCAACTCGAGTTTCTGAGATGGCAAAGAAGTTGGGTGGATTGGGAGTAATTAAGACACATGCACACACACGCGTGGATATACAAAAAAATGAAGACACAATCACAAAACCACGCCGGCTATTAGAAGGAACGTTATAAACGTCCAGCAACCAGCAGTCGCCACGGTCGCCAGGATAACGCAGAAAAGTGGAAACTGACGCTAACACCCTTCCCCCAAGGCGAAGGAAAGGCAACCCCTGATTCTTAAAATAACTCGCGCTTCCTCTCCGCCGGCCGGCGGGGCACCGGACTGCTCCTCCGCAGGCCGAGAGGCGCCGAGCTCAGCGGGAGGGTGAGCACCAGGCTCCTTCGCAGCCCCTCGACGTCACGCTGCTGCCGGCGCTACCGAGGAGGGCTGCTGCCCGCGGGCCTGGGGGAGGGCCGGCCCGAGCCCCATCCCTCACCTCTGGGGACCCACGGCCCGGCGAGGAGACCAGACTGGGCGACCCGAGGAGTCCCCTCCAGGATCCCCGCCGCGCGCCCGCTCCGCGTGGAGAGGGGCTTCCCCGCGGCGCCGGGAGTGGCCCGAGCGAGGACAGCATCCGGCCCTCGGGTCCGCGCCACAGGGACTCGCGGGGCGCCCGCCCCCGCGCCCGCAGCTCCCGCCACGCCCCTGTGCGCTCCAGGGGGAAGACACCTGCGGAGCTGCGCGCCCCCGCGTCCTCACTCGGGCCAGGTCACCCACAGGCGCAGGGCTGCGGGGTGCCCTCGCCGCCGGGGCCAGGCGCCCGTGCGCGCCCCCCGCTCCCGCGGCCCGCGCCGACCCCCAGCCCCCGGCCCAGGGCCGGCCCCGCGCCCAGGACTCCGGCCAGGCGCACAGCCGCGGCTTCCGCCCGCTCCGCCCCGCGCCGGCGCCCACCGCCGGCCTCGCGCCCGGGACTCACCAGCTCGCGGTGAAAGTTGCGGGGCGGCGGCGGCGGCGCTCCACGGTGACTTGAGTTCAGAGCTGGGGACGCGACGGGGCGGCCCAGCGGGCCCCGCGTGGGCAGGGGCTGCGGGCCGGGGAAGGAGGGCGCGCGGCGGGGGGCTGCGGGCGCGGGGCCCGGGGTGGCGCGGCCGCCCAGCCTGCCGCGGGCTAGAGGCTGTGGCGCGTCGGGCCCGGGGGCGCCACGGCCGGGGAGCGAGCGGCGGGCGGCCCGGAGCGGCGGGAGAGGAACTGGCTGTCGCTGGGCTCGGCCGAGAGGTCCCAGCTACTTCCTGGTGCTCGGATTTGCATACTGCGCCCGGAGGGCGGGGAAGTGACCGTTTGGCCTCTGCCCAAGGTTTGGGTCTTTCGTGTGGCCGTCGCGCAGAGCTTTGAAGGCAGAGGAACCTGGCGTCCCAGTGTGCAGCTTGGGAGGGTGGAGCTGCCTCGGGCCCAACATTCTCAGGCAGATACGGACCTCTTCCACGGAAATCCTCTGAAGCCTTCGCGTCTTAGCGCGTCGACGAAACTTCTCACGCCTCCTTGCTTTCCCTTCCAGCCTCCTCCCCAAGGTGTTAGGAGGTGTTGTGCCCCTGGCAGCAGAGGGGACGCGCTTTGATCCCCCCACATTCGGAGTTCTCTAGACAGGGAATCTCATGTGCCGAGTTGATGCTCGGGTCTCATTACAGAGTAAGCTCCTGAAGGGTGTACACGAGGGTGTTCAGGGTATTGATGCGAGCTGGTGGCTGTGGATTTAATGCCCTGGCAAGCACTCAATTCTTCAAAACTTCTATTTCTTCCTGGGAAAATGGAGATAAGGATGGCTAGTTTGTAGGATTACTGGGAGGATGAAATGCCTTCTGTAAGGGGCTCACACCGTGCCGAACACCCAGTAATGAGCACTGTTATTCTGTCATTCCTACTATCTCTGCATCCCCACATGCAGTACAGAGCTTGGCATGCAGCAGGTGCCTAACTAGTGTTTGTTGAAAGAATAAGCTGCGTCTTGAAGCTCATATTCCAACTCAGTTAGTGCCACTTAAAAATCCAAGATATAATAGTAGCCTCAGACATGAACAGACATTTCTCAAAAGAAGATATGAATATGGCCAATAGACACATGAAAAGATGTTCATCATCGCTAATCATCAGGGAAATGCAAATCAAAACTACACTAAGATATCGCCTTACCCCCGTTAGATTGGCAAAAGCATCCAAAACCAAGAACGACAAATGTTGGAGAGGTTGTGGAGAAAGAGGAACCCTCATACACTGTTGGTGGGAATGCAAACTGGTACAGCCACTATGGAAAACAGTATGGAGATTTCTCAAAAAGTTAAAAATAGAAATACCCTATGACCCAGCCATCCCATTACTGGGTATCTATCCTAAGAACCTGAAATCAGATATCTCAAGAGTCCGTTGCACCCCTATGTTCATCGCAGCATTATTTACAATAGCCAAGACGTGGAACCAGCCTACATGCCCAGAAACTGATGATTGGATAAAGAAGATGTGGTATATATACACAATGGAATACTACTCAGCCATAAAAAAAGACGAAATTGGCCCATTCACAACAATGTGGATGGACCTCGAGGGCATTATGTTAAGCGAAATAAGTCAGTCAGAGAAAGACGAACTCTATATGACTCCACTCATAGGTGGAAATTAGTATATTGAGAAGGAGATCTGATCGGTGGTTACCAGGGGAAAGGGGGGGTGGGGGGAGGGTACGGAGGGGGAAGTGGTGTACCCACAACATGACTAACAAAAATGTACAACTGAAATCTCACAAGGTTGTAATCTATCATAACATTAATAAAAAAAATATATATATATACCCAGAATCTAAAAAAAAAAAAAAAAAGAAAAGAAAAAAATAGTAGCCTCAGTCACTGTGGATGCCCACTTGTTCTAAGCAAGATTCTGCTCACTGGGATGCCAGCACTGCACCACGCTGGAGAATTTACAAGGAAATAAACAGCACTTTGTAGGAGATTTGGTATTTGTGTTAATAGCAGCAAATACTTACTTTAGGGTCTATTGGGTGCCAGACATTGCCCTAAGCACTTCAGATGGGTTACCTTTTATTGACCATGTTATTAAGAGGTTGGCCCCACAGAAAGAGGCTGCAGCCACAGCCCAGTGGGCGAGTCAGACACCACATAATACAGTCCCATACAGCAGTCACTATTCCTGGTAACAGAGGATGAAGGTTTGCAAACTTCTGCCTTAAACAAAAAGAAGTAAGGTGGTTTATACCTATGATGTTCAGTGGTGTGTAGTTGGTTAATTTCCTGCTGAAGAGGAAGGGGTGGGTTACTTGTTGGAAGGTGTCGAAAGTGCGGGTGAAATCTGTCACAGATCCTGCGGAGTGATTCACTACCAGGGGGCCTGTTCCCTGGACTTCTCTTCAGGATGACCTCTCAAATGTATTGGCCCTAACTTAAAACATCTCCTGTTGCCAGTGAGTCCTCGAGATCCTGGCTAAAAGGATACATGTGGCAAATAAGAATAGGATACGGAATGTTTGGTGTTGGTCAATCGATCTGGAATATCCTGCCAGTGTTTTTGGTAAAATGCCTCTTGGCGTGAGGAACAAAGCATCATCAGAAAGAGCTGGGCTTGCACCCGGCTACGCCACTTCTGCCTCCTCACACACAAGCATCCTAGCTGAGTTCATCTCTTTATTCTTATTTGGAAAAGAAAAAAACTATTGTCCTTCCCACATCTCAGGCTGTATTCATATATCCTGAATACTTCCTCCACCCTCTCTCTGTATCTCTCCTTCCTCTGTAAAGTCCCATGAAAGTTGCATGGCCCAGAAAAGTTGTAGGTAAAGCCCTCATTGGTAGCCTTCTTTTCTAGGTATCTAGAGCACTTAACAGTGTGCAACAGGCATTTTAAACTAGACTTAGGTACTTGTTAGCATTGTTGGCCTTCGTTTCATGTGAATAAATAGTAACCCCTGTTTGGAAGGCATTGCTTCTTGTATTTGTCTCTTTCCTGCTGTACCTCTCAAAAGTTCTGTTAGGTGCTTTAAAATACTTCCTTAGTATTGACTGATTGGTTCATTGATTGAGGGGCTGAGTTGTCTCAACAGTATTCTCTATTGAGAATTGAGCACGGGAGGGAATGATCAGGGGGAGGTTGAAAATTAACAAAGACCCCTTGACAGGGTAAGCAGGCTTTGAAGAGGTGAGGGATGTGACTGAGAAGGACACAAGGAGGAAGTAGTGGAAATGGCATCAACCTTGTCTAGTCGATCCTCATTTTTTTCAGATTCTGTATCTGCAAATTCACCTACTCACTAAAATTTATTTGTAACCGCATAATCAATCCTTGCAGCACTTTCACAGTCATTCATGGACATGAGCACAGAGGTGAATATTTGAGTCTCCCCATGTACACCTTCCCAGCTGAGGTCAGATGAGGTGATGCTCCGCCTTCTTGTTTTAGCTCATGTTCTATCAACGTGTCCTTTGGGGGATCTATTTAGTGCCATGTTTTTTGCATTTTTGTGCTTTTTGATGGTGATTCCACTGTTTAAAATGGCCCCCAAGCGTAGTGCTGAAGTGCTGTCAAGTGTCCTAAGAAGGCTGTGATTGCCTTATGGAGATTGCCTTATGGAGAAATACGTGTGTTAGATCAGCTTCATTCAGGCATGAGTGTGGTCAGTAAGCTTAGTGAATCAACAATAGACAAAGTGTCTTTAAACAGATTTACACCTAAAACAAGGTTATCTATCAATCAATTGATGAAAATGTGGTGTCCAGAGGCTTGCAGCAACCTAACCCTGTGTTCCTCCTAGGAACAATGGTCAGCGTTAACTGCTTCGTTGTTTGTGGCACTTTATAGATCATAACTACCAAAAAACTACCACAGAAATTGACGGTGCGTAAGAACATCCCATCTTCCACTGGTAGGAAAACAAAACCCCTGACCTCAAGGAAATTCTCCTTCAACACAGACCTTCACAGATCCTGGCACTTACAGCCGAGTTGGTCATGCTTGGCACACACTTTCCTTTCAGCCCACCCACCTCGCCATATAATCTGCAGCCCATCACGTTGCCATGGTGTAGACTGTCCGTGGTGCCTCTGTCCCTCTTCTGGAAGCTGCCCTTCGGAATCCTCAGGGCAACTCAGGGACTCCTACAGACTGTTTACACAAGACCCCTGGCTGGCTTTGTGGGGAGAGGCAGAGTGGAGGCTAAGGCTCTCCATCTGACTCTCACAAACATGGACACACACCTGAAGCCCAAGTAGCAAATAGGAAAGAGCAGTGCTGCTCAATCCTGGGCCACGTCAGAACCACTTGCCCAGGCCCTACTCAGATAATTAAATCAAAGCCCGGGGGGTGGATTGAGGGGAGACCCAATCATCAGAGATTCTGAAGCTCCCCAGGTGGTACAAATGAGCAGCCAAGATTGGGAACCGTTGGGAAAGAGCCCCAACTAAACACCCTGGGAGAACATGGGCCACATTTGCTAGATAGGTTTCTCCTGATCACCAGGGATCTTAATAAAATACACTAGCGGGGGGCCGGCCCCATGGCATAGTGGTTAAGTTCACGCACTCTGTTTCAGTGGCCCAGGGTCCATGGGTTCGGATCCCTGGTGCCGACCTACACGCCTCTCATCAAGCCATGCTGTGGGAGTATCCCACATACAAAATAGAGGAAGACTGGCACAGATCTTAGCCCAGAGACAATCTTCCTCACCAAACAAACGAAAAACAGGCTAGCAGGCCTCTCATCTGCACACTTGGGGCTGATGAATCAGAAATGTTGTTTAAAGTGGGGAAATCATAAAAATGATGTGAATGTGCCTTCAACATTTCACTTGAACTTCAACCTCAAGTTCATTCATTCACTGCCAACCTCTCGTGTAATGCAGGGGTTTTCTCTGAGCCGGAATCACTTACGTAGCATTCTGGGCCGTCTTTCCTACCTAAACCACACCCGTGACACCTCCCTGATTTCCAGTTACAGCTTTGTGGAAGCAGAGCCATCTCACCCACAATCTCCTGTCTTCCACAGCTGCTTCACTCACACCTAATTCAGTGCAGCTGTTGGCTTTTACCATTTTACCTGTGACTGCTTCCAAATATTGAACTTAGCTT